CGTAAATTTTACACGGGCTCTATGCCCCCGCCAAGTTTGGTGAGTTTTTGAATATGATAAAGCCCCCAAAAAGGCAAGTCATTTGGCACAAGAACTATAATAAACAGTACAAAAACAATAGGCCTTCGCAGCGCTTAGCTGCTCGGGCCTAATAATAATAATATACAGCCTTCTGGAGCTAACCCTTTGTGTTACCATTAGTTGTTCCCTTTAAACACAAGAGGTCAAAAATACAAACTTGTCAGCATTTTTAGAGTTCATGTTCAGTCTGAGCTCCAGTTGCAACGGATTCTTGACTACCAGAGGTCTCAGATGTTGAAAATGTCCACTGTTTAGTTTGTAATTAAGCTGGTTTAGTTTGTAATTATGCTTTTCGATTTGTCTGCCCAACAGGTTTAATCATGATGATATCCACATGGATAACAGTGATGGCCGTGCTGGTGGCTTTGTTGAATGGAGTGAGGAGCGGTAAGTGCTGCTTTTAGAGAGAAACCTCACACTAAACATAGAGCTAAAGACTAGTGTACTCATGTTTCTGCTTCCTTTGACTTAAAGCTTTAGTATGTCTGAACAGTTATAGATAATAAATGAAAAGTCGTGTCAGTTTTGAAATGATGTGTCCAAAAATTGTCAATAGTTGGTGCCTTATCAGGCGTGACATCAGTCATAGAGTATGGAGAAAAGGACAGAATACTGGATAGGCTAATGACTGGACAAATAAAGGCTTATTTTTATTGTTTATAAAGAAATTCCTTTTTCAAAATAACATCTGTTTGACAGAAGGTTACATTAACTAACATAAAACTTCTTCACGTTTGCATGTTCAGTTTGTCCTTTTTTCTCAACTGCACARTGTCCGTGATCAGAAAATGTATGTGTGCTGAGCAGACAGTGTTTGTGTCAGTGACGCGGTGAGGCTGTGTGTGCATAGRTAACAGACTATGGTCCGAACAAACTACACAGTAAATGTTTTGCCTTTTGTGCGTCTAACCGTAGCAACACAGACATTGATCGGTTTCAAAAGCAGCCACAAGCTAAACAAGCAGTGTCATGTAAAAGTAAAGACGTTTATTACGAGCCATCACATCAAACTGAGCCAAATTTGATCAAAATGACCACAGCAAATCTTTAGATTTTAATTCCTGGATTATCCTGATATCATGAGTAGTTCCAGGGATGAGGCCAGTGTTGTTTATAAAGTACCACAAAGTGATACTTGAGTAAAAGTACAAGTATCTTACCAAATACTTACTTTGATAAAAGTTAAAGTCTCCTTTAGGAACATTACTTAAAGGCACAGTGTGTAGGAT